ATGCTGAGGCGATTCCAAGAGCACCTCTCTCCTGGATAAAGGGGGTGGGGGTTGGATGAGTGTATATGGGGCGGGGGGGACGGACGGGGGACCATCAGCTACAGCCAGTCTGATTTATCTGGGAATTTTTGAACACATTAAAGTCTTCCTGCCTCTCCCAAAAGTGCTGTTTCCAGTAACTGGTAGGTCTCAGCAAAATGGTGGGTCAAATTCTCAACAAGTGCTTCTCATCTTAGTGTCTCCTTTCACCATAAGGGACCAGTGGCACTCAAGTGATGAGATGGCCAGTTTTAGTGACTTCCCAAGTTAAATTCGGTAACAGCTCTGCTTGCTGCCCCCCCCCCCCATCCTTTTTTAAACTCCCACAAAACAGCTCTTTAGTACCTTTTAGCCTGAACTGCGGGAGCCCCCCTCTAGTGGAGTGAGATGGTATTTCAGGTGGCCCACAACCCAGTCTCATTCGCTCTTCCAGCAATAACTGTATCGTAGAAAATTCAGTCCCACTCAGACTCACAGCCCAGCCTGGGGATGCATTACTTTGACTAGCTCATGAATTGTTACTGCTCTGCTGTTTGGCCTGAGCGGTTCCCAAACTGCTTAGGCCAAAGGTGGATTTGAACAATGAATCCTGGTGTAGGGAGGGGAGGAGACAAGTGGAAACGAGAGTGAAATGATGGAGCGGGAGAGCACAACTTTCATTCTCAGTTTGTTAGATAAAGATCTTTTAAAAATAACCCAGAACTAAACGGACAATAAAATCCCTTTGCAAAGCAAAAGCAGGGTGGCTTTTTCAGCAGGTATTTAACCCCCAGAAGCCTGGATTTGAGAACAAGGCTCAAGTCACAAGTGACATACGTTTGACCTGCTCAATTCAGCCTTCTACCATAGATCTAATTCCTTAACAAACCCGGTTCCCAATTCTGGAACAAAACTGGGTTGGTGTAAGGAGTTAGCATGCAGCAGCAGCCTTGCTACAGGCTAGCGCAGCAGAATGCTTGGGGACAGCATCCCTGCCACATGCCCTTCTCTTCAAAACACCCCAATAAATATACATTTTTCCTTTAGCTAAAGAGAAAGAATATGAATATAAAATCCTTTTAGGCAGCAGCAGCCTCCACTTTCCCAGGCCAATACATTGCCTGGATTCTTCTTGTGTTCCCAATTTCTCTTCTATATCCTTGAAGCTTTCTAACAAACTACTCTTCACAGACAAAGAACTTTCCACTGCCTCAGCCCAGAATGCCTTTTAGTCTTGCAGACAACTGAGGTTAGATCTTATGGAGGCAAAGAGGGCAGAAGAGGGAAGACGCATGACTCTAAGAAGCCAAGGAGTAAGTGGACATACTCAGGTCACGTGTAGGATGCTCTTGGCCATAATCATAAAGGCACCAGGGATCCAGTCATCAAGACTGTGGCCAAACCCTAGGAAAAAAACTTGGTAGTGCCTTCCCCCCACTTCCCCTCTTGTCCTTTGTTGTCCTCCTAGCCAAGCTGGTTAAGAGATTAACACTCTAAAAACCACATTTACTCTAATTAGCCATGAAATCTTTGTAAGTAAGTGAAAAAATGTTTCCCTTGAGGGATTTTTGTCCATTCATCACTGTTTGAATTACAGGGGAGACAGAGAGAGATGGGGGGGGGGGAAGGGAAAAAAATTAGAAAATTCAGATCTAATGAATTAATAGCAGAATGCCCAAAGGGGAAGCGGACTATAACTATAAAATGCAAGCAGCTCAAAGGGACGATTCGGAATTATTTCTAGTTAACAGACTGTAACACAACGCTCCGGTCTCTTTATGATTTGGGTAGCTTGGCTAGCAGTCCCTGGCTCTCTCATTGGTAGTGATGGACAGAAGTACATTGTGCCCCCCAGGCTGTGTGTACAGACAGCTGTGTGCGACTCCACCAGGAGACAGCTGGGTAAGGAGGGAGATAGGCTAGAAACAGCCATCAGGCCCCTTGCACCTGATTTTTAATGATTATTTTACCATGGGAAAGCATTTGAGAAGGGCTGGGGTGGGGGCGGGGGGGCGAAGCAGGGAGAAAATCTTGCCTCAACTTAGACCCATAAATATTTCATAGCACCGGCATAAGAACGATTATATTGCTCCTTTCTTGTGTATTTTAAACATCTCACCGCCTTCCACTTTCTCCCCCCCCCTCCTTTGTGTGTTTCTTGTAACAGGCCCATGAAATAAAGATTAGCTGAATAATCAAGAGTGTTTAGAAATGTGAAAGGGGCCGTCTCAGGAGCACCACAGGCTCATCACTCTCAATTTCCCCCCCCCCCGCTTAAGAATTCCAGAGACAGAGGAAGGAAGCAAATTTTTCATGTGCTTAAAAAAAAAAAAGCCTCAAGGCTGGAATGGGAGTGGGATGGATGGGCACAGAGCTTGCTGCTCCTCATAGAAAGGGATCACTAGAACAAGTATGAGAAGAGGAGACATTCTCCACCGCTACCCCGTTACATTTTTATTGTTTGAGCCGCACAGGGCCAATTAAAACAACTTGATCAGTGCAGCATTTGGACTGAAGCATGGGGGTGGATGTGTGTAATTTTCCTGCCTGTGATGGATTTTACCTTTACCCGCTAAACCAGGCCTCCCCGAACAAAGATACTTCGAGAAGACCTGGCAACCTTTGGCATGCATATTGGCACCAAAAAGCAGACCTGGCATTTCCCCTAGAATCTTCCCTCCACACGTACCCTGCAGCACCCAGCCCTTATATCCCAAGCAGCCTCAGTGGAAAGATTCACCTATCACCTGAGAACACCAGTGCTAAAATCCACCCAAGCCATTGGGTCATTCCTTCACGACTCGCTCCAGGCTTCAACTGCACAGAGTTTCCACAGCCGGCCTGGAAGCGCTGAGGCTCTGAGGGGCCAGTCAATGGGAGCCCTCGTGCACAGCATGGGAGTCACACGGCTTCCTGACACACCCCACAAACGGCTCCCAATGTCATTTCCATTTAGCTGCTTTGCAAGCCAGTTTGTCACATACCAGTGTGATTTGCTGGAGAGAGTTAAAGAGCAGGACAGTTGAAGTCATCTCTTCTCCGCTGTCACATATACCCAGGCGTACAATGGTCAGAATCTATTGGTTTTTTCCTTCTGGTATCTAACCGCATGGGGGGGGGGGGAGGGGAAGAGTTCAGGTTGTTCTACTGAGGAGCAGGGGAGAGTTGAGGGTTAACAGAACAAGTAACACAGGGAGTGATGAAAAGCACCCGGAGAAGCTGTTCCTATCATGTTTGTGGATTCTGTGCGGATTCTAAACAGCATCTGTTACCTGTTCCCACTGCACAAACTTGTTATAAGCCAGGGGGAAACTCCACAAATAATTACCTCCAATAAAGATATAAAGGCAGTGAAGAGTAAATTGGGTTACTTTATCTTCCTGCAACGAGCACAGCAGAGATGGTTAGGCGAGTTGAGTGAAGTGCTGTATTTTGCTATACAAGCCATTTCACAAGAGAAATTGTACATTTTAGTTACTCTTTAGCTGAACCGTTTTTCCAAAATCAAAGCTATTTCGTTCGGCTCCCTGAACCGCTCTTAACTATGCTATTGGACTCAGAGTGAATGGGAAATTGGCCAAGGACAGCAGCGGAGGTAAATTATTTTATAAAAGGGCTAAAATCTCGGTGTTTGAAAAAAAACAACCCCTCTGTTCTGAAGAGGGCACCGATTCTCTTTGAGGCAGCAGGCTTTCAGCTGCAGAAGTAGGTCATTTGACTTAACTTTCAGAGACATGGGTATCAATGGGGCTGTCCAGCGAAGGAGAGCAGAGCCCATCTCCCAGAACTCAGCTACCAGCTATCAAACCGAATCATCTCGCCACTGAAATGTTAAGAGCTAGACAAATAATGGGGGAAACCCCTTAGTAATGGGATTTTGTAGCATCGTCCCCTGCTAACACTGCATCCTCTCTCCCCGCTGAGACAATACCCTGAACTACCGATCACACATGCACAATTGCCCACCCATCACTTACTAACCCCCCACCCCTTAATGCTAGTCTATGACACTGCTCGGAACACAGAATTATTAACTCAACCTCTTTGCCCCAGCCACACAAAGTATTGACGCGGCTCGCACAGAAGAAAGGCTGGTTGGTATTGGGCTATTCTAGGTTACACTGGGGGCACGAAGTCGAGAGGACAGTGTGCGTAGATGTCCTGTGTATAGAGACAAGCCGCCCTTGCCACTACACATGGGCCAGCCAAACAATTCAGGGGTTGATGGGACTGAGGAACACACAGACAGTACCTCGGATTTCTCTGGAGAAAGCACAGACTGATTCACTTTTAGCCCCCCTGCCCACCCGGCTTCCACGAGAGATTTTGCAGCATTTGGGAGTTTTCATGGGAACACTTTTTGGTAGTCACGAGCGCTTAAAATAAATAAATAAAAAAAGTCTCTCCTTGTCAATGGCAACGTTTTGTTTGCTCGTCTCCTCTGATGCACTTCCTCCCCCCAGATCATGACTGCCTGGGAGAAAAATGAAACCGCTGAGATTCAAGGAGGAATAAAATACATTTATAGAATAGCTAACCTAAGAAAAAAATAATGGGGAACCTAAAACGGAGCGGGGGGGGGGACGGGGGACCAAAGGGCTCTCTTGATGTATCTTTATTTCCAATGGAAGAGGAAGCGTGTCAGGATGCTGCCTCCACACACACTCCCCTCCAGAGGTGCAGGTTCCCAAGTGCACTGTCTGGAAAGACAAACATGTCACTAACGCTTCCAGCCTAAGCCACGCAGCAACACATGGGGCTGGAGCCCTTCCGCAGGCACACGTTACACACAGCCCTGTCCACAAGAAAGTGGCTGGGGTCCTCTATGGGGGCGGGGGATCTCCCTCAGTCCCTCCTTTCCAAATGCATTGTGTGATTATATCAAATGACGGGGGGGGGCGACTCTTGCACCCCAGAGATACATGCAGAATAAAAGGGGGCAGGCGGAGGTTCAAGGCACAAGCCCCGGTTTGATGACTTACCAAACCTCAAGGTCCGCTCCTGTCCGTCTCCTTGGGGGGCGGACAGCCTCCTCCCCCCCCGCGCCTCCTCGGAGTTAGGGAGAGGCGATCCGCCCGGCCCCCCGTTGCATTAACATCCACAGCAAGTGCCCAGCTCCTGATCTGTATTCCTGGAGGCTCCCTGCTCTTCCTGGGAGCCGCTGCTCTGCACCCCGGTGCGCCTGGCTGCCCAATGACTGCTGTGTCGAAACTCTCCTTATTCCTCGCCTTTGCCCACCGAGCCCTCTCCTCGACCCCCCCTGGCATGAGCCACCCCGGGCTGCCTGCCCGTCCCCGCTCCCCTCCTGCGGGGAGCTGTTTCCCCCTCTCCCTCTTTCTCCCAGCCGAATTTCCCAGGAACTGTGGGCTCCTTCCCCCAGCTCCTGCCTGGCACTGGAAGCTCATCCCCCCATCAGCAGCAAGCTGGCTGGCTGCTAAAGCCTGCCTCCCTGTATTACCATGGAGCTCATTAACATACAGTCTCGGGGCTTAACCCTTCCCCGGCCGAGCCCCGGGCCTCCCCGCGCCCCCGGCGGGGAATTCGGCCAGGTGCTGAGCGAGACCCACCCGCAGCAGCCTGGGACCCGCCTGGCGCTGCCGAGAACCTCCGTCCCCCACCCCAGCGAACGACTCCAGAGAAAACGCGGCGAACCCAGGGGCTGGGCCGGTTTGTAAAGAGCATTAAAAGGCACCAGAAACTGAAGCCGGCACAGACACCCCACAACCTGCCTGGCTCATCTCCGCCTTCCAGCGCCCGCGTTTCAGACCTTGCCCCCTGGCCCCCATAAGGTAGCAGGTGTGATTGGAGGGAGCTGAAGCTGCTTTTCCATTTTATCTCAACTCCCCCACACAGTTGGTCAGGATGCCCGCGTAGGGGGGTCAGCATCTCCTGCCCTCATTTGATACAGGCCACTGAGCAGCGAACAGGCTCCATAAATAACCCGTTGCCAATCCCCTGAACGCTCCTGCAACCCACAGTTATGTATCTATAACCTTCCTATCTACTGCAGACTATCAGCTCTGAGATGCAGGTAGCAGCTAGGGAGTTCATGAGGGAATGTGATCCAGCAATCAGAGAAAGGGTCTGACCATCCTGACTCCTGGGGTCTAGTCTGAGCTAGGCCATTGACTTGCTAGGTGAACTTGGGCATTTTATTATTAGTTTTATGCTGCTGGAATGAAGGAAAGGAAAACACCCACCAAAGATTTGTGTCTTATGTGCCTCAGTTTCCCCATGTATGACAAGGAGGGAACCTCACAGAATTGACATAAGGCATAATAACTAGCCTTTGTAAAGCACTTTGAGATTCTTGGGCCACAAAGAACCACGGAAGTGCAAAGAATTATTAACCAGCAGATGGGGAGACCAAACACAGAGTTAAAGCACCCCAGTTTCCACAGTCCACAACCCAGTCACACTGCACCGAAACCCCCCGGGGTTCTGTATCCCCCATTCTGTCATCCTATACTAACTGAGCACTATTAAAAAAAGTCTAGCTCCAGTTGTGTGGGCTGAGTATTTGGAAATCTAGGCCCAGAGGTCTTGGCACCTCCTACCTGGGAGATCTCCTTTTACTCCTCATACACCACTGCAGGTGTGATCCCTGTAATTATGCTATCTGGGCCCCAGTTTACTATAAGAGAAGGGTCTGCTAGAAGAGTAATCTCAGACCATTTTCCTTTAGAAAGTGTTTCCCCTTTTGGCCTGAATTAACCCAGCCTGTTGTCCTCCAGGCCATGGTGGAGGGCAGCTGAAGAAGAAGGGGAAGGGAGGGTGATTTGGGTGGTTATTTTGTGCTATTACACATCATGGCATTGCTGCTTCTTTTTAACATTTGTCAGAAGTACCTATTGCATCTCACGAGGGGGCTCTTCTAGGGTAAATAAATAAATTAAATCCATTTTTGTTAAAAACAAACAGTCCCCATTCCTCGCCTTAGCCAGTGTCACTTCCCTCCTGTATCAGAGTTAGGTACTGCCCTCCCACCCACCCCGGTGGGTTGCCAGTAACTAGATGGTTGTCAATGGGGATTTAAGCCATGGGGTGTACTGTTGCCTTGTGTTATGTCTCTGGAAAGTTACCATGGCATAGCACAGCATGTGGAAGAGCCTGAGTGGGGTGATCTCAGAGTTGGAGATGGACACTCTTTAGATAAGTCCTTTGACTGATTTAGAGAACGATCACATATAGGGAGACACTCATAGTAACTGAAAAGCAAATTAAAATAAAAAGGGAAAGGTACATACAAGAACAGCTAAAACTTTCAATCAACTCCACTCACTGCCATGGGGAGACAGACAGACAATACAGCTACCTACAGGACTTCCCAGTTCTTTGGTGAAGAGCTCCTGAACATTCCCCACTCAGCACTAAAATAAGAGCAGCTGCCAAAGGGTGCTATTTACTCAGCAGGGCCAGGTCATATGGCTGCCTGGTGCTTAAAGCTACAACCACACAGGTGTATATTTTAAATGAACACACGTCATCACTGATAGCAGAAAGCTAGAGCCTGACTTGGATCCCAAAAGGATTCCCAGGCGCTACTTCCTAAGCTTTTTAATAAAGGAGAGACTTTAATCAATCCACACTTCTGCCCACAAAACCAGGACCACAATCAAGGGGAAGAAATTAACTCTAGTGTAGCGATTCTGTAGCTGCCCTCTAGTGGCAGGTCACATGTCTGCAGCTAAAAACACCTGGGAGAGATAGAAGGGAAATTTCTTCCCTGAGCTCTTCATGTTCCCTCCACCAGGAGTATAAAAGCAAAACAGGCTCAGTTGCGTGCCAGAAAGGAGGGGGCCAGTGCAGTCTCTCTCCCTCTCAGCCCCTGGGCTGCCTTTTCCCCTTGCAGGAGTGGGTAACTGGGTTAGGGATGTTTGTTGTTTTTTGGGTCTTTTTTGAGGCTGGTGGGAAGGGGAGAGGAATCAAACCTACAAACCTATTTCTGTTGCTTGCAACTAAAGTTTAAAGGAGCTTCCCAATTTGGGAAGGTGGGGGTTGTAAAAGACGATAAACTTAATTCCTCCTCCAGGGACAAAGTTGCACAGTAGGTTGTGAATACTTCTCTACGATGGGTCAAATTTCTCCCCTGCCTATGTCTACTGATATTCATAGAAGGATTTTCTTTTTAAACACATCCCCTACAATTCTGCAGAGCATAGACAGGAGGTGTCCCATCTCACCTATCCCACTTAAGGGCCAGATCTCATTGCCATTGAAGTAAATAAGACGACTCCCACTGACTTCACTAGGACTTGGCGTGGACCTCTATTGGGGATATTTTTGATGTTCTGCAAGGATACTATAGGATACAGCTGTTTATATCAGGAGGGTGCTCAGTTTAGAGAAGGACCATGCCCTTAGCAAGCTCTGCTCTTTCATTATTCTGTCCCTGCCTGATATATTGACTGTGTCTTTCATTCACAGCAAACTGCACTAAATCCCATTACAAATACCAGCTTTGGTTAAATGCTTGTGCTGCTAATGCAATTTCTCCTTTCACAGAAAGCAGTACAAGGCGGGTCAGAGCGTCTCAATCATTTCTCTCCTCTTTGCAGGACTGCATCCTGTTTATTATTTATTAGTGGCAAATTGTTTTCAGGGATGCAGGGTCTATCTCCTGCTAATTACAGGATTTCTGAGCTAGGGAGCAGAGGAGGCCATTGTATGATGCATGTGAGGAGCCAGGGTTTATTTTGGGGCACGAAGAGCAAAACAGCACTGGTCTGGGATTCACGGCTAGAGAATGTGAGCTGATAAACGATGCCATTTGCATGACCAGTCCTGTGGTCAGATGTGCTTTAGGCATGGCATGTCCTTACCTGAAACAACTTTCGGGGAAATCCTCATCTGGATTTGTGTCCTCCCATCCCTGAAGCTGATGATATGTACTAGTGCCTGGGGATCACAGGAAGCCCCCTTTAGAAGCATGCAGTAAATATCAGTATTTATTGTGTGGAGTTGAGGTGGTGAATGGGAATGTAAGGAGGGAATACCCTATTTGTTGTATTAATGTGTGTGTGTGCTGCACGTTTGTGTGTCTGTGCCTGTGTGTGCATGCGTGTGCGTGAGTATCCTGTGCATTTCTGTATCTCACTCATTCACTCACGCCCGTCACCCCAGTCGGGGTATGGGCCGCCAACTACAGATCTCCAGAGTCCTTTATCCTGGGCTATTTGCTCTAGCTGGTTCCAGGTATAGCCCATTTTTATGCTATCAGCCTGAAGGTCGCGTCACCAGGTGTTTCTTGGACGGCCTCTTTTCTGCTTGCCTTGGGGCTTCCACCGCAATTTCTGTGTCTGCCGTGCCAGAATTGTGTGCACGCGCGTCTTGTGTGTTGTTTGAGTATTGGTTTGCATGCATACTATGTATTGCATATAGGTGTGTGTGGTGTGTAGATGGAGTGTGTTTTTGTTTGTGTATGGTGTGCTGTGTACTTTGTGGATTTGTTCGTGTGTATGTGTTTTGGGTATTTACGTATTATATTTTGTGTATGTATTGTGCCTTTATTTTGCGAACATGTGTATTTGCATTTATTTTGTGCAGTTTCTGTGCCTTCATTTTGTGTACATCTTTTGTGTGTGCTTGTTTGTGCTTTGCGTTAATATTGTGCCAGCGCCTTGTGACTATATGCATGCACGTGTATATTTCTTTGGCATGTGTGCACTTTTGTTTGTGTGATATGTTGCGTACACATCTAAAAAGAAAACTAACAGCACTGCATGACATCTCTTTTACTGGCTGTTGTGCTGTGAGCTAATTATAACCCACATTGCTATGACATGTGGATGGGCTCCCAGCACCCACCTGGGAATTGTTTCGCTTTTCAGCCTTTTCTCCAGCGGGTCCAGTCATGGCATCTTACAACCAGCAAAGAGACACCAGGGGCAAGTGGCTGTGGGTAATTTACAGGCAAAATGAGGGTGAATGGAGAAAACAGATCACAGAGAGGCAAGGAGCTGTCCCTGTTGGGAACCAAACAGGCAGGACCTGCATGAAGAGCAATAACTCACTAAGGCGTCTGCCTTTGTGGCCCCTTTCGCTGGTACTCTCCAGTATGCAAATCCCAGTTTCTAGTGTACTTTATACAGTAGCTTGGCTCTTAGAGCTGCAAATCAAACAGGGCAGGACTGGAGTCCTTTTCTGCTAACCACAAGCCACACTCCCCTTTCCTCCCCTGCTTTGTGAGCATCACCAGGGGGAAGAGAGTCTCTTGAACAT